CTTGAAGATTAGGCCCATATTATTGAAGACAAGACACATTTTAGACACAGGACTCAGAAAATTAAACCTGGAACTGAACTGAAAGCCTCCTCCCTGAGTAATAGCTTTGCAGAATCTGAAGGTGTTATAGAAGATTCTAAAGAATAACCAGAAGTCCTAATGGCCAAGCACAAGTTATTCCCAATGATGCTATAGTGGCACTTTTACCTTGTGAATAACCACCAGCTACATCATTAGACTTAAGGCCCACAAAATACGTAAGAATTCAAACCTGGTACTGTAAACCTAGTAAACCACCCATGGAAAGAGGTCAGGAATTCTCAAGAAAAGCATAAGATTGACGTTTACTAAATCAATATAATCCCAAACAGTATTCTAAATATGTATCCTTTTATCCACATCTAAATATAACCCTTCTCCCCTTAGCAAAGAAGTTTCTTTTTATAACAGATGGAGGCCACTACAGAGGTCAACATCTGCAATGTGGAGAGAAAGTGACCATGAGAGGCCCAGCCCAATCAGTCATCTATATCTAAGACTCAGTAATCGTTACAGAACACAGATTCTAAGAGCCAGAAGACCACAATGCTTGCTGCCAGAGAATGTCTTTTGGACTTAACAGGGAAGTTGTACCCATGAAATATCAACAACATAGTTGACAAACATAATAACCACACCACTCATGTAAACACGGATAGGAAAATTTCACAAGGAAATTTTAGAGGAAAACAATGGCTGCTGAAAGAGGTGCGTCTTCTGTCTTGTTAATATTAAAAACCATAGATCCTATCTCAGTAAATGAGATCTGAGCTCCTATATTTCTAAGACTTGTTTTGTTTCTAAAGTACTTTATAGCCTCTTAAGTTTTGTTTACGTACTTACAGTATACAATGTGATATGCCAATAATGGCTATACCAGTTTGACTGACAATCCATTACCTTAAATATTTATCATTTCTTTCTGTTGGTAACATTTAAAATCCCCTGAACTAGATATTCTGCAATACTCTCAACTTTTAACCACAGGCATCTAGTGTTATGGAACATCTGAAGGGTTCTTCCCAACCAACAGTGTCTGTTATCTATTATCCTCTCTCCACATCCCTGACACCTCACTCTTCTCAGACTTGGGAAACCATTTCTCTGCTCTCTCCTAAACTGAGCATAACTTTTGGTCTTAGACACATAGAAAAAATTATGTGTATTTGAACATCTGTGTCTCAATTATTTCACTTAGTATAATGTTAAATGTCCTCTACTCATCCATGTTGCTTTAAGTGTTAGGAGTTCACTAATTCTTTATTTCTTTTTTTGGTTTTTCGAGACAGGGTTTCACTGTAGCTTTGGAGCCTGTCTTGGAACAAGCTCTTGTAGACCAGGCTGGCCTGGAAATCACAGTAATCTGCCTGCCTCTGCCTCCCAAGTGCTGGGATTAAAGGCGTGTGGCACTACCACCCAGCTAGGAGCCAAGTGTAGATGTGTGTGTGTTCTCTTTATTATTCTTTCATCCACTGAGAAACAACTAAGTTAATTTTGTATCTTCCGAGCAAATCCAGCCAAAGAAAAACCTCACAGAACTGTACCCTGAGCTTTCTTCTGGACCTATATACAGTGTTAGTTCCCTTTCTAGCCCTCTGAAGAGTCTCATCACTGTTTTACACTGGTAGCTGGAGTAATTTTTTATACTGGTCCCTAAATACTCATGATACTCAGATCATACTCTGAGTAGCAAGATTCAAGACAAAAATTACATTCTTTACAGAAAAACAATAGGTTTTTCATATAAATAAATATCATATTCCTCATACTCTTTGTTCATGGTACACATACTAAGACTATCAGTTGATGCCTAAAAATCTGGATAGGATCTAACCTTATATATAATATATTTTTATCAACATACACATATTTATGGTAAGTTTAATTCATAAACTATGGTTAAAAATTAATAAAAAGAACTACAAAATACATTATTATAAAATTTAGGTGCCTGCTGTTTTGTGATATGAAATGACACGATCAGAAATGAGGCAAAAAAAAAAAACAGCAATAGTGACGTGGCATTAGGCTATGACATACGAAGACAGTGTGATAATGCCACAGCACATCCGATAGCCACAGCAGCTGCCACATGTATAAAACATGAGAGATGGTAGTGAGGGAATCCATCCAGACACGCTGGAGGAGGCTCACTCAGATCACATGGGGAAAGGGAGAGGAACTGCACACGATTTCATATGAGAAGTCATTGCAGCAAGCAATTTAAAGCTTGCTTATTTCTGGAACTATCCACTTACTATTTTCAGAGCAGTACTGATCATAACTGAAGCTATGAAAGTATGAAAATACAGATATGGGAGGCACTACTCACTTAAGGTATTACTCAGCATACACTCCAGATGGCTCTTACCTTTGAACTTTAAAATGTGATCAAACTGGGGCAAATTGTAAAATATACATGACAATCTTTTCAAGATTTAAAAGCAGCACTTTAATTAAGGACCAATAATAAATTTGCTGAGATCATACTACTAATTTTAATTTTGGATTAATGAGAAATAATTTTAACAATGATTATTAAGTTTTAATATTTAGTTTACAGAGTAAGTTGCAAATAAGGTCCCCACAAAATTATTCAAACATTCTTTAAACTATTAAATATATTGAACATCTAGATATGAGTAAAAGTTACAAAAACTGGCATAATACATTCATGATTGTCCAGAAATGAGTAATCAGGAAAAGGATTTACATTATTATTAGATGTCTAGCTGGCAGTAAGAACCAGCTTCTCTGTTTTAAGAGAATGAAAATTTGGATTTAGAAAAAGGCTTTCTAAACCTCTATACTGCTTATTGCCTTAATACGTACAAGTGTTCATTTACAAATACTCAAAGAAATTCCAGAAAAACCACTCATAATGTATGCAAATAAACTCCTTCTGCTGGACTGGATAGGCTATAAGCTCAGCAGACTATACTGGCAAATGTAGCCTTGAAAGTACCTTGGGTTTGAGAATTATTGTCAAGTCTGTTTACCTTATTGCTATTTAATGTTTCTAAATTTACAGAAGCAAATCTAAATTTCCAAGTATTTCTGTACAAAAGAAAATCTAACACTTGTAAAACAACTATCTATGGAATTCTCTAAATATAGCCAAGGCAATATTTCAAGAACATGTTTTGGAACATATTTATAAAAAAAAAGGCCAGGTTTTTACTACTGGACTAAAAATAATTCTCTCTCTCATATAGTTATGTATATAAAAAATTATACATAATCTCAAAATATTCAACTTCTCATATGCCAATAAACAAATTTAGTAGTGGTAAATTTTTAATTGTTTAATATTCAAGACATGCATTTTTTATTTTTTAATTTTTTTTATTGTTTTTACTGAGCTATATATTTTTCTCTGGTCCCTCTCTTTTTCTCCCCTTCCCTTCTCCCCTCTCCCATGATCCCCATGCTTCCAATTTACTCAGGAGATCTTGTCTTTTTCTACTTCCCATGTAGATTAGATTCATTAGGGCCCTCACTGGGATTGTGAATTATAGGCTGTTTTTTGTTTCGTTTTGTTTTTTTTGCTTTATGTCTAAAAGCCACTTATGAGTGAGAACCTATGATATTGTCTTTCTGGGGCTGGGTTACCTCACTCAATATGATGTTTTCTAGATCCATCCATTTGTCCACAAATTTCAAGATGACATTATTTTTTCTACTGTGTAGTGCTCCATTGTGTAAACATACCATATTTTCCTTATCCATTCTTCCGTTGATGGGCATTTAGGTTGTTCCCAGATTCTGGCTATAAACATAGTTGAGAACATGTCCTTGTGGTACAATTGAGCATCCTTTGGGTATATACCTAAAAGTGTTATTGCTGGGTCTTGAGGTAGGTTGTTTCCTAATTTTCTGAGAAATCGCCATACTAATATCCAAAGGGGCTGTGCCAGTTTGCACTACACCAGCAATGGAGAAGTGTTCCCTTTACCCCACATCTTCTCAAGAATAAGTTGTCATCAGTGTTTTGGATCCTGGCCATTCTTACAGGTGTAAGATGGACTCTCAGAGTTGTTTTGATTTGCATTTCTCTGATGACTAAGGATGTTGAGCATTTCCTTAAGTGTCTTTCAGCCACCTAGATTCCTCTGTTGAGAGTTCTCTATTTAGGTCTGTATCCCATTTTTTATTGGATTATTTGTTCTTTTGATGACCAATTTCTTGAGTTTCAAGACAAGCATTTTAAGATGCCTGTGGTGTATCTCCTATACATTCTGTTGCTACTGTTTGACTTTGGTTTTTTGAGACAGGGTCTCTCTACATAGTCCTGGATGTCTCTGAACTCACAGAGATCCACTCGCCTCTGCTGCGATTAAAGGTATGCACCATCACACCCGGATCCTCCTACTCATTATTAATGTTGCAAAGGTAAGTTATGTTTTTAAGTATTAAATCTATTTTCATACAGCGAAGTGAGCTGCCCCATGTTTTATTCATCATAGATGGTGGGACTACCCATTCCAGCTCCTATCCTCTAAATGAAAACACAGACTAACACATAGATTCAGAGACATGTGATGAGTGAGCAGAGTTAAGTACCGTGAAATCAGTTAAAGGAAGGGAAGATGATAAAATGTCTACAGCTACCTTACAGAATGGGAAGACTAGAAAAAGCTTCTTAATGGAAAAGACATTTTAGTTGAGAGCTATCTCTAGAATGTTATATAAAAGAGTAATGATACTGTCTGTCCTGCTTCAAATACATTGTCTGAGTTTTCTTTAAAAAAATCAATATTCATTTATCTGTAATAATGATAAGCAGAGATGGTATTAACAACAAAGTGCCAAACATAATTTCCAAGTTATTTTGGTATTTAGTGTAATAACTACTAACAAAGAACAAAATGGTTAACTTCAATTACCATCCATTCTCTGCATGGCTCACCCTGTAGTACATTTGGTAGGAAAATAAATAAATAAATAAAATTAAAACTTACCAAAAGGCTGTTAATGGGGAAAACCTAAGAGCAGAAAAATAAGAGAAATTAAAGCTCTGGTTCGTCCTGTACAGACTGAAGACATGAGCACTGAGGTATGGGGGCAGTTGTTGCTACAGATATAAGGGAGGGAACGGCCAGAACCATCTGAAGAGCCCACTGCATGGAGGAGAAGTCACAGACTTAACATGGTCTGGAGATTAGACTAGGCGAAGAGAGGAGAGAGAAGGGGAGAAGGAGGAAGACAGAGAGAGAAAAGGAGAGAGGGGACAAAGAGAGCAGATGGCTGAAATAGCAGGTTTATAGGGGAATGAGAAGCTGGGGGTGGAGGAAAGCCCAAGAGCTAAAGAAGTTTAGGGTATAGGGGGGCTGAGAAGAGCTGAGAGGAGCGAGGATGCTCTGTTATGCTCATAGGCACCACAGACAACATCCAGCCAGTTTCTTTTGGACCTGACAGATCCATACACTAAAATCTAGTGACCAGATACTCAATTCAACAATTAGGCAGAAGTAAATGGCATTTCTGTTCTGGTTTTATTTCAAAGAGGTGACCATTTTAATGAGGGAAGGGAAACATACCCACATACCCATGTGTCTGCATTTGTACCATGCTTTCTTATTTTTTCCTCTTTTACTGAAAATAGATTTTTTTAATCATATATGATTTGGTTTCCCCTCCCTCTATTCTTCCAAGTTCCTCCTTAACTCCCCTATCGTCTGAATCCATCCACTCTCTTTCTCTTATTAGAAAACAAACAGGCTTCTAAGGGATTATGATATATGTTATGCAATGATATAATGTAATAAATATGATATGATATACGATAAAATATATGATAAAACAAAAACAAACACATCAACTGATGTGGGAGTGTCATATATCAATCTGTTGATTTCATTGGTTAAGCAATAAAGAAACTGCTTGGCTGGCCCTGATAGGTTAAAACATAGGTGGGAGGAGTAAACAGAATAGGATGCTGGGAGGAAGAGGAAGTGAGCTCAGACTCTGCTCTGCTCCCGGAGAGACCCGACAGCTCTACTCTCTGGAGCAGAGATGCCATGCTCAGCTCTCCCGGGTAGATGCGATAGCTCTGCGCTCTGAGGCAGACGCATGAAGCTCAGACCCTGGATGGACGTAGGCTAGAATCTTCCCGGTAAGCGCACCTTGGGGTGCTTACACACATTTTTAGAAATGGGCTAAATTAATATGTGAGAATTAGCCTAGAAGAGGCTAGATAGAAACGGGCCAAGCAGTCTTTAAATGAATACAGTTTGTGTGTTGTTATTTCGGGCATAAGCCAGCAGGCGGCCGCTCGTATTTCAACAATCAACAAATCAGGATAGGCCAGAACAAACATAAGGAAAAGGAAAGGAAAGGGCACAAGAAACACATACAGATGCAGAGATCCACTCATTCAAACTCAGAAATCCTATAAAAACCAAAACTGGGTAGCCTTAACAAATATCCAAAGAACAACAACAAAAAAAAAAACTATAAAAAATAAAAAAAGATAAAATGTTTAAAAAGAAATATAAAAGAAAGGAAAAACTGGCATGATATCATGAGATAAGGGCCTCCAGAGATGCTGCTGTGCCTGTTTTCAGTTGGGCACCTCCTGCTGGGTATGCAGCCAACCTTTAAAATGCATTTGTTGCCCCCAGGAAGACTCCCCTGCAAGAGCTAACTTTTCATCTGCAAGTGGTAATCAATTGGAGGTAGATTCTGGGTTAAGAATGGGAATATTCTCCCACTTCCTCTTCATCTGTATGGACCCCCTCTGATCCAGAACCATACAGGCTCTGGCATGCTGCCTCAGGCTCTGTGAGTTGATATGTGTGTGGTTCTGCTAACTTTAGAAGGCCCTGTCTCTCTGGTGTCTTCCATCCTCTCTAGTTCTGTGTGCCTCCACTTGTGCAGGGCTTCCAGCAACCTGAGTGGAGGAATCTGATGAAGACACTCATTAGAGCTTAATGTTCCATGGTCTCTCACTCTCTGCATATTGTATGACCAAAGGTTTCTGTATTCGTTCCCATATGCTGAGAGTGGCCATTGTTCCGTATCTGTTCCCATATGCTGACCTACTAGCATAGCAGAATTTCATTAGGTGTCATTTTATTGCTATATTCCTTTAGAACATAGTATTTGGCCTAACCCAAAGCCCCGGGAAGTATAGTCTCAGGTTCTTGGTCACCCAGGCAGCATCAGGTATGGGGTCCATCCCATGGAATGTCTTTTTTTTTCCCCCATGGAATGTCTTAACTCTATTCTCATATCAGGTGGTGACTCCCACGAGTGCTGTGTCACCACTGTACTCACATATCCTGCAGGCAGAACACTACTGTAGGTCAAAGGAGCTGGAACTAGTTTGGGGTTTCCATTTCTTCTTTGGTAGCGTTCACAGTCCCTCCAGTACAAGGAACACTATCCGGTAGGGGTGAGGGTTCTACGTAGGCACCAGCTAGTTTCCACAAGCAATGAATGAGTGCTGTTCCACACTCTCCCGTACAAGCTATCACTTGTTTTATTTATCTTAGCCATTCTGATGGGTGTAAGACGAAATCTGAAGGTGGTCTAGATATGCATTTCTCTGACAAATAAGAATGCTGAAGATTTAAGTGCTTCTCGGCCATTCAAGTTTCCTCTTTTGAGAATTATCTCTTTAGATCTGTTCTCCAGGGGCTGGAGAGATGGCTCAGAGGTTAAGATCTGTACTCCATTTTTTAAATTTGGTTATTTGTTTTGTTAGTATCTAGTTTGAGCTCTTTATATGTTTGGATATTACAGTTTTTATTCTTAACATCACCTAACACTTCCCCTTCTTACTTCCAAGTACTTTATGTCAGAGTGTAAGACTTGCAGGCAAATTGCTGAGAAGTGGCACTGGCTCGCCACTACTAGAAAAGGGGCAGAAAGTTAGGCTATACAAACATTGGTGTGTGATGCTGAGATGCATCAGCTACATGGCACAACGCAAATGCCTGCTTCTTCGCTCCTTCCCTGATAAACTGTTCAACCAGAACTATGTCAAGTAGAGTCTGTTTGGAAAGGAAAAAAAAAGCCAGAATTCCAACCCTGAAAAGATGGTAGGGTAGAGGAAAGTGCATTCTAAAAATACATATATATACTACTCAGACATTAAGCCAGTTTTCACATACTGTGACATTTTTATGGAGTCCTTATTAAACGACATTAGGATTTATTAGGATTTATTATATGTATTAAGTGATCTTACAATGTATTTTAGGGGAAGCAAAAGCTTTGCACTCCCTCTTAGGAATCATTCAACTAGGCCTGAGAATGAAGCTGACACAAGGCAGGATCCAGAAGGGAAAGCATAAAGTTCAGCTAACACAAGTTTGATGTGCATAAGACCCTTTTAAAACATTTTAATTTTTGAGAATTTTATACATGCATAGAATTTTGATCATGTTAACACCTCATTCCTAACTCCTCCCAGATCCATTCCCCATGCCCATCCCAACATCATGCCCTCTCGCTCTCTCCCATAGCCCACTGATTCTAATTTGTGCTGTCAATGTCTTCATGGGGGTAGGGGCATCCACTGGAGCATGGCCAGCACCAGGGGCCTCATCCTTAAGGAAAATGATTCTCCCTCCCCCAGAAATAATCAAGTATCAATAACTCATCAGCTAAGGATGAATGCTCCTGAGCCTCCCACCCCACACTGGAACAAGCAATGGCTAGATCTTGTGTACATCTTGTGCAGGGACAGAAAAATAAGTCAGAGAAAAGGACAAGGAAAAGGTTAACACTAAGGTTATAAAACAGTCATGTGGAAAGTTACTATTTTATAAGATACACACACACACACGTGCATTTATAATCTGTCATATAAAAGAATTTAATTGGAGTTACCCTATATTGAAGCCATATGTTGACAAAAAGTCCAGTGCCAAGTATTCAATACTACCCTTGAGTTGGCCAGTGGTGTTCAAGAGACACCCCTTGAATTGTTCTTGATTACCCACCAACACTTACTACTAAGACTCTCTTTCTGAAGACACTGTGCCCTTTGGGCAAAAGACACAGAGTAATAAACTTGCTACTGATTAGGAAACTCCTTCCCTACTGGCTATGTGGGATGTGTGTGTGTGCCTGTGTGTATGTGTACATATGTGTATATGCATATATATACTTCCTCCTATATCCATCCTTCTATAAGGTACTAAATGTTGGGGGGGTGCCACCAACAATCCTACACAACTGTGAATCCTGTGAGCTACAATAATGAGTGGAATTATAAAATATATACATGAATGAAATAGTGGCACAAATGTTAAGCTGCTAACCAATAACTTTCTGTTTGGATTTAATGATAGCACTACATGAGGAAAACCATGTCTGCCATCTAAATCTGGTCAAGAATCCATGGCTGGGGAGCTCACACCTTTAGGTGACTCTACTATTACTTTGCTAAACTGACATAGTATCAAACTGCCACTCAACTCTTATCTCTACCCATCAATAGTACATTTCCCAGACCTCATCAGAAAAGTTTCTTTGTGTAGTGTATGGCAGTTAGAGCAGAAAATCCTAACTAATCAAAGTGCAAAGAATAAGTATCTGTAGAGTGCTCATCTTTACAAGGCTCGGAGACCATTGTAGAAAGGGAGTGGAAAGATCGCTAGGAGTAAGGACAAAAAAACAGTCTAGACACAACTAGACTTCTGCAGTCATGAATTCACAGCAGGGTAGGAACCTGTTAAATGACACACAGAGGTCACTGATTATTTAATTAGAAACAAATAATGCTAGTAATGAAAATTGATCCCTCCTCAAAAAGCTCACGCTTCAACTACCATAAAGTATTGAGAAATAGAGTTTTAAGAGATGATGAAGGCATGAGTGCTCTTTCCTTACAAGTGGATTAGTGCCATCAGTACAGTGATACATTCGTTCTCACAGTGTCCTTCAGTGAGCCTCCATCTCCAACTATGCACACCAGCTTTTCCTTCTGCCACATTTCAATACAAGATAAAGACCCTTTATCAGGAATTGGCAA